ATACCGTTACTGGCTTTCATGTGCCAAACGATTTTAGACCTTTTTAGGCGCAGCCTCACGAGGAAAATGTGTGCGCACACTGTTCGAAAGGCATTGTTGTCTTGTCGTAAACAGTCCGGGCGTTGAGGTTGGGAGCGCTGGTTCCCATGCGGGCTAGCGCTTTTTAGATTTATCTGTTTGGGCTTGGGCCAGGCAGCGGTACCTACGCTTCTCCATCCAAAGTCCCTCCTTGGAAGACTTCCACTGCATCCCTCTAACGCCTGCATTGAACCTCTCTTCCCCATCCTCCTGCTGTCGCTCACTCCCTCTCCCTCTCCCTTCTCTCGCGGCTTCGCACCGCTCGGCTGCGGTGACGAGGCTGCCCGTTCCCGAAGCATCCGTCGCCACTAGGTGTGCTGGACCGTCGCTCCCACGGCAGCTCCCCTTCCTTGTGCTCGTCCTTCCTTTGGCCTCAGACGTCGCGATTTTGTCAAGGCTCGGGGGCCCCCAAACGGGGTGGTGACCACACCCTGTGGTGAGTCGGTGGGGATTCGGGGTCATCGCACGGTTTTGGGCTTCGGGTCGTTCTCCGAGGACGTCTCGGGCGACTGGGGCATCCGGGGTCCCAAAGCCGTGCGTTGACGGACCGTGCGGTGAGGTCTTGGGGGGGTTCGAGGTCACCACACGGTCGGTTACCGCACCGTCTCGGGGTTCCCAGAGGGCGAGGGCCCCGGGGCTCTCCCACAGCAGCACAGGGGCACTGTGGAGTCGGGACACGGCTGCGCACATTTTCACACAGGGTCTGTGTCGTTGCGTACATAGAACGTGAGTCAGGGCCCGCTCCTTCCAGCCTCTGGACAAACTTTGGCCCGAGCCCAACAGTTCAGGCAAAACAGCGAAAGTAATGATCTTCACAACCGCCCCGACCTACGGATCCCATTTCTCCTAGCGGTCCCCTCTGATTGATGGGGCCTGCAACTGGCCTCCGGGCGCCGAAACTGTCGAGATACGCCGGCCGTGATCTTCTCGCGACCCCAGAGGTCTCCTCCTCCTGTTCCTCCTCCTCCTCATCCTCCTTTTCCTGTCTGCGCTGGCCAGACTGGGTCCTCTCCCTGTCGCTGGAGATGCACTTCGCTGAGGGGGCTCGAAAGGGCCTCATGTTAAAATACGGAAAAGCGAAAAGTTCGAGGCCAAAATTGTTACAAAGTTCAAGGTCAACGTTGCTAGAATCTTGAAGTGCGAAAAAGCTTGGATAAAGTTCGGCGGCGGAGAAGTTCCAAATATCCCAGAGGGTGTGAATTGTGGGTGAGGCGAACTCCCGAAATAGTTTCAAATTGTTCCCGAACTGTTCCCCAATTTGCTCAAAAAATGGCTCCGAACTTCGGAACTTGGTTCAAACATGTTTCAAACTGTTTCCAGCTTTTCCATATTCGGTGAAAAAGAAAAAACGTTGTTCGAACTCTCCCTGAATTTTGTGAACTCGAACTTCTAACCGTTCCTCCGCCCGAACCCAAGCTACATCTCTATGTCTTTTCCAGGACAGGCCATCTCTTCATACACCAGCCAGTTGTAGGGCTGGAGCGTCCATGCGAAGCAGTGAACGAGCACAACGCTCAGCAGAAGCAGTTGCAAGGTCGAAAGAGCATAGGATAAATTTGAAGTCCAGACAGACGTTTGAATACTACTTTCCCCCCTCTCCACGGATTCTATCCGAGCAGGGCCTCGTCTCGTCAGCAGGTCGGTTTCTCGCGTATCGGATAATCCGTGGCCCCATAGGGAGCGCCGCCGAAGGCCCCAGTGGCTGCGTTCGCCCCAATCATTTTCGGCTCACCACTCACATATTTCGTGACCCCGTAGGGAGCGCCACCAAAGGCTCCAGTGGCTACGTTCGCATACGTCCGCCCATTCCATTCCAGTACATCCCTCACACGTCTCGCGGCCCCACAGGGAGCTCCACCAGAGGCCCCTGCGGCGGTGTTCGCATGCGCCCGCCCCACACATTTCGGCATACCCCTCACGCGCTTCGTAGCCCCATAGGGAACTCCACCGAAGACCCCAGTGGCAGCGTTCGCGCTCACCGCGCCCACTGCATAGGGTCGGGTCTTTCGCCAGGCTAATTGATATTTCTTTTCAATCGGGACGCCTATGGTGTTTCGAAGTTGAATTACCGCTGGAGCTTTGGCCTCATTTTGGGATCGGCGCTTTGCTCCTGTGGCTCAGAATGGCGCTCTCGCCCCAGCGCGGGCCACGCTTCTGGATCCGAGTCTTTGTTCGTCGTTGTTGCCCCGATCCTTTCCCCTCCTCCGCCTTCCCCTGGTCCTCCTGCGCATCCCGATCCTCCTACTCCTGCTGCTACTTGTCCTGCTCGTCCTCCTCTTCATCCTCTTGCTCATCATGCTGCGCATCCGCCACCACTTCCTCCTCATCCAATGCACACGGTTCCCTACGGTTTTTTGTGGGGGTCCCAGGTCCGCTGTGACACCCGCCGGCGGATAGATGAAAGATCGCGCAATGGGAAGAGATGGGTGGGAAGGGTAGAATGTCGGATATGGCGCGAGCGCACCTAGTTTGTCTTTTCCCCTCTCTCATCTTTCCTCATCATCCTCCGCACCATCATCAGCATCATCAGCATCATCCTCATTACCATCATCATCATCATCATCATCATCATCATCATCATCATCATCATCATCATCATCATCATCATCATCATCATCATCATCATTACCATCCTCTTCATCATCATCCTCCTCCTTCTCCTCCTTCTCCTCCTCCTCGTCCTCCTCCTCATCCTTCTCCCATTCCTCCTCCTCCTCCTCATTTTCCTTTTCCTCCTCCTCCTCCTTCTCCTGCTGCTCCTGGTCCTCCTCGTCCTCCTCCTCCACATCCTCTTCCTCATCCTCCATGTCCTCCTCCTGCCCCTCCTCCTCCTCCTGTTCCTCCCTTCTCCTCCTCCTCCTCGTCCTTCTCTTCCTCCTCTTCCTCCTTTTCCTCCTCCTCCTCCTCTTCCTCCTCCCCCCCTCCTCCGTCTCCTCCTCCTCATCCTCCTCCTCCTCCTCCTCCTCCTCCTCCTCCTCCCCCTCCTCCTCCTTCTCCTCCTCCTCCTCCTCCTCCACCTCCTCCCCTTTCTCCTCCTCCTCGGCCTCCTCCTCCTCCTCATGTTCCTCCCCCAACGGCCCCGAGGGACTGCCTAATGGTGGCCCGCTCGCTGTCCTGGCAGTTTGGTCAGTGATCCTCATGTTCCTCCTCCTCCTCCTCCTCCGCCTCCTTCTCCCTCCTCCTC